ATTGATGAACTCTCTAGGAAAAAATCTCCAGGGCCAGATGGATTTACAAGTGAATTCTATCAAACATTTAAAGAACAATTAATTCCAATACTACATAGACTATTTGGGAAAATAGGTGAAGAAGCAGTCTTACCAAATTCTTTTTATGATACAAATATGGTGCTGATACCTAAACTAGGAAGAGTCAAAACAGAGAAAGAAAATGATAGGCCAATTTCTCTAATGAATATAGATGCAAAAATTTTAAATAAAATATTAGCAAGTAGATTACAGCAACTTATCACAAGAATAACACACTATGACCAGGTAGGATTTATGCCAGGAATGCAGGGTTGGTTCAATATTAGGAAAACTAAAAGCATAATTGATCATATCAACACCAAAACCAACAGAAACCACATGATTATCTCAATAGATACAGAAAAAGCTTTTGACAAAATACAACACCCATTAGTATTAAAATACTAGAGAGCACAGGAATAAATGGAGTCTTCCTTAAAATAATAAATAGCATCTACCTTAAACCTCCAGCAAGCATCATATGTGGTGGGGACAAGCTACAAGCATTTCCAATGAGATCAGGGGTAAAACAAGAATGTCCATTATCACCACTGTTGTTCAATATTGTACTGGAAATGTTAGCTTTAGCAGTAAGAGAAGAAAAAGAAATTGAAGGTATTAGAATAGGAAAAGAACAAGCAAAGCTATCACTCTTTGCAGATGATATAATGATATTCTTAGAGAATCCTAGAGAATCAAGTAAAAAAAAACTACTTGAAATATCTTAAGGAGGATCTGGAAAGACTTTACATAGAAGGTGAGATTTTAGCTGGAACTTGTAGGCTAGGTGAGAGCCAGGAGGTCAGATGAAAAGAAAAAGTATTCTATGCATGAGAAAAAGTCAGTGAAAATGCTCAGATTTGGGAGGTGCAAAGTCTTGTTGAAGGAATAGCAAGGAGGCCAGTGTTACCAGATCAAAGAGTACTTGAGGATTGGATGTATACAAGATGTAGGGACTACAGAAATGTGAGCTGTTATTGTTGCCCTCTGGAGCAGCTTTGGGTTCTCCAGAAGACAACAATAACATCGTCATCATTTCTTAAAATCAGACAATAGTCTATTAGCTTCACATAGGCATAATGATTGGATCTATGATTTCACTGAACTAGGTGAAGAAATTCCCTCAAGAGATTCAGGTTGGCACTCTTTCCCACAATTCATAATCTTAGAGTTTCCTATAGCACTGAGATATTAAGTGATATGTCCAGGCTCACACTGTTAATGTGATAGAGGTGGGGCCTTCTTATACCATTTTTTAAAAACTGATTTGTTAAAGGCCTAGTTTATCTCCAGGGCTTTTTTTTTTCTATTACAAGTTTTGCTGCTAGAAATATTTTTGTACAGAAAAGTCTCTACTCCTCCCCCATCAATGACATCCTTAGAGCTAAGTAATGCAGTAGATAGAATGCTGGGCCTAGAAGAGTCAGAAAGTCCTGAGTTCAAATCTGTTCTTAGATACTTACTAACTATGTAACCCTGGGCAAGTCACTTAACCTCTGCCTCAGTTTTCTCAACTATAAAATAGGGATAATAATGGTATCAGCCTCCTAGGATTGTTGTGAGGATCAAATTAGATGATATTTGTAAAGCATTTAGCACAGTGCCTGGTACCTAGTAGGTGCTATATAAATGCTAGTTATTGCTATTATTATTATTATTATTATTATTATTATTTTATTTTCTATTAGTGAGACCACTGGATCCAGAGGAGGGAGTAGATATAGAGAAATTAAGGTTTAAAGTTTCTTGGGCTTGGTGAATGATTATCAGAGGAAGAAACTCAGTTCAAGTGTGAGGGCTTGTGTATTGAATGAGTAGTGTGTATACTGTGCTCATAAGATGCACACATTTTCATGGTGCCTGTCCTTTTTGAGAGTAGTCCTGGAAATTCACTCTCTGGGAGATGAAGAATTCCAGGAATCACTTGAAAGCTGATAATTAATGACATCATTCTGGAATCATGGAAAAAGGCTGGGAAAATTTAGATAAATATAACAAACTTGGAAATGCCTCTTAGGGAGGTGGAGGGGCTCGGTATTGGACCTACACATTGGGTATGATAAGTTCCCTGTGGCATAATAAATGAGTCCATGCCAGAACCCATTTTCTTTCTCACAGCTGCTGAAATAATTTTCTGGTGTATAGTTTTGAATATGACTCCTTGACTCAAGTATCTTAAATGAATCCCCCTTTGACTCTAGAATAAAATACAGCCTCAACATAGCATTTAAAAGACTTTGCAATCTGACCCAGCCTATATTTTTGGCTGATAACACATTACTTAGTCAGTAAACAAGTATTTGTTAAGTACCAGACCCTGTGCCAGGCACTGGGAACACAAACACAAGCAGAAAGGAAAACAGGAGGCAGGTAGGTGGTATAGTGGATAGAGCACCAGCCCTGGAGTCAGGAAGACCTGAGTTCAAATTTGACCTCAGATGGCTAACACTTATTAGCTGTGTGAATCTGGGCAAGTCACTTAACCCCAATTGCCTTGCCAAAAAACCAAAAAACAGACCCTGACCTCAAGGAGCTTATGTTACTCCTTTTCACACACTCAAAGTCACAGTTAAATGGGCTTGCTTGCTGTTCCCCAGAATGAGCTCCAGCTCCTGTCTTCATTCATTATGAGGTCTGTCTTCCATTTCTGGAATGCACTTCCTCACTTCTACCTGTTAAAATCTTTAATTGTCTTCAAGAATTAGCTCTGGAGACACCTCCAGCTGGAATCTTACTCATTTATAAAATGGAAATACAGCCTGTAGTAAGTAATCAGTCAGCAAGCATTTATTAAGTGCTGACTGTGTACTGTGAATTGTGCTAGGTACCAAGGATACAAATACAAATGGGAGAATCACTTCCACCAAGCTTGCATTCTAGCACGTTTATAAATAAGCAATTGCGAGATAGAACATAAACTAAAAAGTGATAGGGATGTTGGGGAAGGAGAAAGATTCTAAACTGGAGGAACTAGGAAAATTTTCTGTAAAGAGGTGGCAATTGACTTGAACTTTATTGGTGACATCATGAGGTTTCATCAGTGACTTTCTCCTAGAGATCAAGCCAGGAAGAAGGAATAAGTCCAGTAACTAAAGTTTTCTAAATCTCTGCTTAGTTTTTAGGAACATCCTCTATATCAAGGGAACCATTGTGTAATGGGGAAAGCTGACAGATCACCTCCAAAATGCCTTTATCCATGCTCTGCTGGTGATCAATGGAGACAGTGCAATACTTAGAACAAATGACCAGAACAATCAACAACCACAAAGACAAATATACAATCCCTGAACTGTGGTCACTGGTTTTTGTTGACAGCCTTCACCTTGCAAAGGTCATGGAGCTGGCTTTACAAAGGGGCACTCTGTTCTGAAGCACTAGGAATAACCTAAGGAGAAAAAAAATTAGGAAAGAAAACAAATACAATGCAACCTTTCAGGAACCTCCCCAAAACACAGAGTTCCCTGCACTTTCTTTGTCATACCTAGGACGTAGACAGATGGCTTTAATTTAGTTTGTTTCAGATGAGCTCAATGCAATTCAATAAGCATTTATTAAAAGGCTATTATGGACTCAGAACTATGGGAGCTATTGGGACAAAACACGAAGACAAGGCATGGTGCATACTTTCTGTATGATCACAATCTAATAGGCAAGATGACTGAAGCACATTTTAAAAGCTAGATGAGTGGTACAGACAGCAGGTGGTTACTGAGCTCTGAGAAGAAGGTATCACTGTGATCAATCAATTAATCAAGTGATTTATTAAGCCCCTACTATGTTCCAGGCACTGTGTTAGGTGCTGGGTACACAAAGAAAGAAACAATATTTTCAAGGATTGTTCTCAAGAAACTTACATTCTAAGGGGGAAGTCTACCAAAATGAGATTAGAGATGGGTCTTAAAGAATAAAGGATATGAGTGGGCAGAAAAGAGAAGAATAATGTGAACAAAAGTAGAGAGGGGGCAATATATCAGGTGTGTTTAGGAGACAATCAGGAGTCACATCAGTCTGACTAGCTGGAAGAGAGAGTTCAAATAGGGGAGAGTCAGGGATCAGCAAGAAACAAAGATACAAAAATTTGGGGTCCAGTTGCATCCTGTAGACAAAGAGCTATTGCAGAATAATAGAACCTCAGAGTTGGAAGGGGCTTCAGAGAACATCTAGTCCCACTCATACCTAAATAGAAATTTCCTTTACAAAATCCTCAACCAGTGTTGATTCAGCCTTTGCATGAAGACCCCAATGAGAGAGTATCTACTATCTCCTCAGGCAGCTCAACTGTACTTTTGGACAGTACTAATTGTTGGAAAGTTTTTCCTCAAATCCAATCAAAATCTGCTTCCATGAAACATCAGCCCATTGTCCCAAATTCTGCCTTTCATTTGCTCAAGGGATCAGCAAACAGGGTACTTTCCTTGGTGTTGGAGCTGGGGGCACAGCTTCCAACAATTTGAAGCACCTAATTCCAAGCACCTGACCTGATTCTAAGCACTGCTTGTCTAATTCTTCTCTCATGAAATCTCTTCAATTACAAGAAGATAGTTCTCAATTGCTCATAAGTCTCTTCTCTAGGCTAAACATGGTGACCTCTTATAACTGATCCTTATATGTTATGGTTCTGAGTCTCTTCACCATCCTGGAAGATGCAGACACTCAAAATAATAGGTCTTGTTGATTCTTTGGATGAATTTTAATGAATAGTCATTGAAAAATCAAAAAGGTGTGATGATTCCAAAAATAATAATATGCCATTTTAACCTCTCCCTTTATCCCCATTGCCCCATCGTATGACAAGCATTGTGTAAAAGAGAGATCAGTTTTCAGTGTCACACTGATCTCAGGATATATAGAGAGGAAGTTTTTAGGAGAGGAGCACACACATTCTAACCAGCTTCACTGGGTGACTGATTGAAGGGAAGGCCCTGTGAAAGTCTGTCAGGATGAAGGTCCTTTTCCTAACCATAGCACTAAGCCTGTTCTCCATCCTTCAAGCTGAAGAATCGGCATCTTCTGGAGAAGCATTGGGGGTAAGGCTGCATTGGGAGGTCTTGTAGATTGGAGGGAGGCATGTATGCTAGTAAGAGGCTGTCATTTCAAAATTAGGATCCTACCAGATTCTTCTCAGGAGGATCCGGAGCTGTGAGATCCCATTCTACAAGAGGTAGCAACTTTAGAGCTATGGACTCAACTAGAAAATATTGAATTGAGTCTATGTAGGAAGTAGATGCTAGATCAAGGATTTTATTCTTCTTTTGCTTTTGATTTCATTTACTCTGTCCAGAGTGAACTGGAAATGGGGGATATGACCCAGTTAATTTCTATCCCTACCAACAAACATTCCAAACAAGTCACACTTCAAAGTGGTATTAGGTCTCAAAGGATTCAATGTCACTGTCAACAGGGATTTAGTTTGTGGGTTCAAAGCTTCAAATTTGAATTGAATTTGAAGCTCTCTGCTTCAAATTTGGACATAGAACATTTTGGGCAACTTTACAGGTTTGAGTTCTCAAGACTAGTTCAGCTGAAGTCCTGCCCTCTTCCTAACAACTTCTCATTTGATTATTCTGCCACTAGGTCCATCATGACTCCTGAGGTAAAGGCTCAGCCAATTTTTGTTTCAGTTAGGGTTATGATCAAAGAGGTGACAAAGTATAGAAGAACTTAGCTGAGAAAGTTTGTGGAGGGGAGAAACCTGCCTCCCTGATTTTTCCTTCTTCAAGCCCTGGCTACAAATTCTGATTCTCTCTAGGGCACATTCTATATACATGCTATTGTGGCAGACACGGACATTCCTGAGGAGAAGAGGCCTAAATCCCTCTCACCCATTACCATCTCCCTTCTTGATGATGGTAATGTAGAGGCCTCATTTACCACCAGGTAAGTAGTCTTCAGGACCATAACTAGAGTTGATAATTCTATGTTCTCTGCTCACCTAACCTGACCATACTTAGTAGTTACTTTTTCATATATGAATATGAAGATTAGGTTTATTTTATTTTATTTTATTTTTTGCCATCAATGGGTGAAATGCTTACTTAGCACTCATTGGCTGACTTTCTGAGTCATTGTCTAACTGCTGATTAGATAGGCTTAGGCCTCCTCTTACTTTCCTCATTTCCCCTGTTGATTCCTCCATCCCATAGCATTCATGACACAAGTTATCATCATAGGTTATACATTTCAGCCTACTCATATCATATATCTCTTGCCATTTCCCTTAGGGTCACCTGTGATTTTGATTCCTTAGAGATCATGGTGTTCTATGGTTCCCCTATATAGCTTGACCTCCAGAATATTTGATGATTGAAAGATGCATGGGAAATCATACAGTTCTTTATGAGTGGAAATAGAGTACAGACATGAATACTGATCTGCTTCAGCTGTACTTTCCTTAGTTGAGAACTGGGTCAGGAGCAAGGGAATCAAACCACCTTTTAAGATTTTTGATGACATTACTTCTCATCTCCAGCAAAACTATTCATATGTGTTCTGTTTTTCAGGAAAAATGGCAAGTGCAAAGAGATTAAAGCAAAATTAGAGAAAACAGACAATCCCTATGAATTCACCATGGGTAAGTGACTCAAACATGCCACATTAAAGGGACTCTAATAAGGAAACAGCCTGAGGCCAGGTCTCAGAGATTATTTGAACTTAGTACCTCTCTGTAGCCCTAGAGTCCAAAGGCCGAGCCTATTTGACAACACACAGTGACTTGGGCAGCTTTTTTCCATGACATGGACTGAATTAATCAGTGGGTCTATCTTCCTGAAGACATGATTGACTATATCACTGGGCCCAATTTAGCTTAGGGTGGCAAAGGCAGGCTAGACAGCCGCTCTTCGCTCTTATGGTTTGCATTGGGAAACCACAAGAACACATACTTAGCCTCTTTATTCCTGTTGAGGTCCTGGCTCTGAAATTTTTGCCATGAGATATTTCCTTGGTAAAGGCATTATCTCATGGAAGCTATTCTGAGGATTCACATGTCTAATTCAGGAAATGTAGGAGACAAAAGTGTACATTCACATTCTAATACCAAGAACATGGGGAGTACTATTCAGGGTGATGTGCAAAGGTGGGGTACCAAAACATAGATGTGTGTTTGGAACCCTGGAATTAGAGGCATATGGAGGGTAGGAGAGACACTAAGAATAAAATTAAACTGTCTCAAAATTGTGTTGAGAGTGGAGATAGATGGATCCATTTATATACTGGTCAGAGTAGGTCAATGAAACATGTCCTAGAGATCTGGCGTTGCCCTTATTCACTCATTTAACCAAGATGTATTAATTAGCTCTAATATTTAGAGAATCATGCTGTTCAGTGAGTTGGGGGTAAAATTCAAGTAAAACATCACTCCTGCTCAAGGCACACACACCTTGGACTTGACCTATGATTAAATTGATATTGGGAACTCCCTCCCAGTGAGTGAACTCTCCATTTCAAAGCAGATTAGCAACTGCTCTCTAATTGACAGTCTTAGAGAGTTGCCTGGGTCCCTGAGAGGTTAAGTGAGTCACTCTGTGCGAGAGCAAGGTCTTGAACTCGGATCCACCTTACACCAAGTTTAGGTCCCCATCTATTATACCACATGTCATCTCTGACACTATTAATTAACCTTATTAAGCTTCTGTTTCCTCATCTGTAACATGAAGAGCTAAGACTAAATGTTCTTAAGGTCCTTGAAAATTCAAAGTCATTCAATCCTGTAGTCTTATAACAGACAATATTACATGATAAGTTCATTAGCAAGGTACAAAACAAAGTACTATATGAGGTTGAAGGGGAAGCTGTTCTGGTCAGGGGACCAGGTCATACAACTCTCTTCTGTGATTCCTGCATGCCAGCTATTTACCAGGAACACTGAATCTAAAGCTTGCCCCAGCCTCTTCCCAAAAGATATTTTCTAAGAGGATTAAGGATGCTAAAAGTATATGTCCCACCACTTCTCCACAGATAAGGGCAAACGCCATGTGTATGTAACCAAGACCTCCGATCCGAATAGTTGGATTCTCTATAGTGAAGGAGAGTTCAGGGGCAAACAAGTCAAATTGGCCAAACTTTTGGGTAAGTAAATCCCAGCAAGATAACAGTGTCAATATTCAGGGCAGCTATTGGAACCTGCCCACTTGGATTCCTCCAGAGAGGGAGTGGGGGGAAATTTCTCTTGTCTCCATTCATTCTGAACTTGATGCAAATCAAAATCCAGTAAAGAGGTTAGTGGATTCCACGAATTACCTGGAAGGTCTTGTCAGCTGCATGTTTGATGGTAACATAGGTCTTATTAAGTAATGACTTTTCTAGTTGCAGGTACTAACTCAATTAGTCCTTAATGAGACAATATGAGGGAAATCCTGCTTTGAACAAAGTAGGAGAAGGAGGGAGAAGGCAAACATGCATGTGTCATCATTCCTTACCCCTTTCCTCCACCATTTTTCTGGAGATTTTAGGGCATTAGGAATAATTTTGTTTAGTGTGAGTGTGAGAGATTTATATGAGTTTTCTGTAAAGACAGTGATTTGGGGAGCAGTTGAGGTAGGGAATTTGTTGGCAGAAGATAAAGAGTGCTAAATTTTCCAATCTCCCCTAAATTCTTTCCTGCTGTTTCTTCATGCTGTCAATTCAACTCACTAGGGTGCAAAACCCAGAGACTTTCACGATAGAGGGTGGCTATTATAGAAAAAAGGATCAGAGAAGGGTCTAGTGGCAACTAACAGCTTATTCTCTCTCTGTAGGGGCAAGCACAGAAGTGGACTCTGAAGTTTTGAAGGAATATCAGGAATTCATCCAACAGAAAGGATTTAATGAAAAAAGAATCATCTCTCCTAAGCAAGAAGGTAACAATAATGAAGTTTTGGTTCCACTCTGCCTGTCTCTTTATCCTCTGTCGTGTACTCCTATCCCTTCCCCCTCCATTCCAGTTGTTTTCTCACCTTAGAAACTGTTTTAAACTAACTTCTTAGCAGACCATACCTAATTGCTTAAACCATTGTCCAGCTTGGGAGATTTGTGCTCGGAAGTACTTTTGGCAAATAATCATATTCACATGTGTCTTTGTCTCTGCAGAGGCCTGCATCCCGGAAGATGCTTAAGGTAAGTACTCTTTAAAGACTTCTAGAGCATCTTCCAGAATAATCAAAAATCCTAAACATTAGCTGGGTTTTAAGTGTCCACTTGGTTCAGCTTAGTCATAGGTAGGTGAACTTCCAAATCATGCCAGATGGATGGATGGCCTTTTAAAAAAACATGTTTCAAATAGACTTCAGCCTTCCCTTGAATTTCTATGCTAGTGTATAGTATGCCTTTTCTGAACCTCTTGCACCCTAGGACTGGGCCCTGCTAGCTCATGGGAAGCTGTCATGAAATGACAGCTTCCTTATGTAATCCCTAGGACTCATTACTGACTTTGCCTTTGATGTTCTCTAGGAGAAGACAATTCCCATCAACCTCAGAATTATGGTATCCAGAAAATCCCCACCATCTCCTCAGATGACCAACAGGTCCCTATATCTGGCTCCTCTCTTTAGCTGCCCCTTATAGTTTCTAACATTTTCTTTCCAGTGCTAATAAATGTGTGAAGCAATCACTTTTGGCTCAGTCTCTCTGTTTCTTTTGAGGGTTTTTTTTTTTTTTGGGAAATGAATAAGAAGTGGGTGGCAACTAGATCAAGTACACTTGCCTAGGAGGCCAAGGACCTTGTTCCAAAGGTTGAGAGACTTATGGTTTCTATAGGATGTATTAAAAAATTCTATATATTCCAAAACAGCTGGATGAAAAGTTAATATTAGGACAGTCCAAAGATTATAAGTAGAGCAACTGAGTTAGTATTCCAGAACACCAAAATTGAACATTTAAATCCCTTACCACTGGAGGATGGGCTAAGTTTTACAATAAATTTACAAGCATTAATTTTCAAAATAGTAAGCTGCTAGAAGGTGTATTTCCTCTTGTCTTCCCTGCTTCCCCACTTGCAGGAAAGCTCCTCACAGTGTCTCAAAGTTTCCGTCTGATTCCTCCTCCCTGAATTTTCTTCCAAGCTTGATTTGAGAATGCATTTTGTGCCATTTACCCTGGGCACTTGTTCTGGGTGCAATACTGCTCTTCCAGAAACTTCTTCTCCAGTTAGAAAGCATTTTTTAAACAATTGAGCCACTTGTATTTTGTACTGAACTGATCAATATATTCACCTCATCTCTTTTCACTGGGTTCTAAATCCTCCCAATATGGCTCCCAAACTCATCCAACTGAAAGTACTCTCCTCAAACTTATCAATGATCTCTCAATTGCCAAGTCTAATGCCATTTTCTTCATCCTCATCCTTCTTGACCACTCTGTGGCCTTTGATAATGTTGATCACCATCTCTTCCTGGATTCTTTCTCCTCTTAAGCTTTGCATGATTCTGTTGTCTTCTGATTTGCCTCTTGCATTTCTGACTACTACTTCTCAGTATCCTGGGCTGGATCTTCACCCGTGTCATTCCCACTAAAACCCAAATGACTCCAAAGGCTTTGTCAGTCAGTCAGTCAACAAGCATTTATTAAGTGCCTACTATGGGTTTGGCATTGTGCTAAGTACTAAGGATACAAAGAAAGGCAAAACACATCCCTGCCCTCCAGGAGCTCACAACTCACAACTGATGGGAGAAGACAGCAGATAAAAAGAAGCTGAAAAGGAGGTGAGGATACTCCAGAGTGGAGGCAAATTGGAGTCCAGAGGAGGCAGATAGGTTGGTAATGAAGAGATGGTTAGTCTGATCACCTTCCTTAAATGGAGGAGCTCTCTGTTCTTAACCCTTCATCTTCTCTAATCAGAGGAAGGGAGTAGAGCTATGTGCAGGAGGGTACTGATGAGGCACTCTGAGTTTCAGGATTAATGTGACCCTGCAGGAAGATGACATTCTTAGGGGACATGATGCAGTTTAGAAGAGTATATCCAGGTGGGAAATGAAGAAGTGGCTGACCTGTATGCCCTTCTTAAATGGATGATCTGGGAGGAAGTCTCTCCTCTCCACCATCTACTCTCCTCGGTCTTCTTCTCTGCTTTCTCTATGAGTGAACTCTGTTGGTACTTTCATCAGTTCCTGTGGATTCAGTTATCTCTATACAGATGGTTCCCAGGTCCGTATGTCTTAACCTTCTCCCAAACTCTAGTCACTCATCATCAACCAACTTTTAGATATGTCAACAGGTTTTCCTGAAGCATTTCAAACCCACCATATCCAAAACTGAACTAATTATCTTTACCCTCAAACCCTTGCCTTTCTGAATTTCCTTATTACTATTGAGAGTACCTCTACGTTCCTAGGAAAGAAGGTACAAAATCCACACTTATTTAAATGTCTACTAGAAACCAGGATTTTTGCTAAGTGATTTTCAAATAAAATCTTATTTGATCCTTACAACAGCTCTGGGACATAGGTACAATTTATTTTCCCTATTTTACAGTTAAGAAAACTGAGACAGACTGTGACCATTTAGTGACTTCAGGGTTACACAGTAAGGGTCTGGGGCTAGATTTGAACTCACATCTTTCTTACTCCAAGTCTAGAGCCATATTCACCGAACTGTCTGAGGTTGGCCACCTCAGTATTATCCTTGACTTTTCACTTTTACTCACACCTCATATCCAATCCTTTGCCAAATCTTGTTTCAACCTTCACAGCACTTTTCATATGTGTCCCTTTCCCTCTATCCATAGAACCAACAACCTAGTAGTTTCCCTAGGAGGAAACCAGCATTTATTATGCGCTACTATGTGCTAGCAACTGTGCCAAGTGCTTTACAAATTTTACCTCATTTGATCCTCACAACAATTCTGTGAGGCAGATGCTATTTTTACCCCCATATTACATTGAAGAAACTGAGGCAGGTAGAGGTTAAGTGACTTTCCCAAGGTCACATAGCTAGTAAGTATCTGAGATCAGATCTGAGCTCAGGTCTTTTTTTAAAAAATTTTATTAATTTATTTTGATTTATCAGCAATCACTTCCATATTCTTTTGAACTGAAAGTTTTTCTCCCCCTTCCTCCCCCCACCCTCCCCAAGACGGTGCACAATCTGATATAGGCTTTACATTTACATTCCTATTAAACATATTTTCACATTAGTGAAGTTGTAAGTAAGAATTAAAACCAATAGGAGGAACCATCAGAAAGATGAAGCAAAACTCAACAGAAGGTAAAAATAAGTTATAGCAATTCGACTTCCATAGCTCTTTCTTTGGATGTGGACAGCATTTTCCATCCCGAGGCCTCTGGAGATGTCTTAGATCCTCGTAATGCTGAGAAGGGTTCAGTTTAACAATCTGAGTCATTGTATAACGTGGCTGTTATTGTGTACAAAGTCCTCTTGGTTCTGCTCACTTCACTCAGCATCAGACCATATAAGTCTTTCAAGGTTTTTCTGAAGTCAGTCTGTTCATCATTTCTTATAGCACAGTAGTATTCATCACATTCATATACCACAACTTGCTCAGCCATTCCCCAATTGATGGGCATCCTCTCAATTTCCAACTCTTTGCCACCACAAAAAGAGCTGCTATGAATATTTTTGTACATGTGGGTCCTTTTCCCATTTGTTTGATCTCTTTGGGATATAGCCCTAGAAGTGCTATTGCTGGATCAAAGGGTCTGCACATTTTTGTAGCCCTTTGGGCATAGTTCCAAACTGTTCTCCAAAATGGTTGGATCATTTCACAACTCCACCAGCAATGTATTAGTGTTCCAATTTTCCCACATCTTCTCCAACATTTATCATTTTCTTGTTTTGTCATGTTGGCCAATCTGATAGGTGTGATGTGGTACCTCAGAGTTGTATTGATTTGCATTTCTGTAATCAATAATGTTTTGGAGCATTTTTTCATATGACTATAGATGGCTTTAATTTCTTCATCTGAGAACTGTCTGTTCATATCCTTTGACCATTTATCAATTGGGGAATGGCTTGTGTTCTTATAAATTTGTCTTAATTCTCTACATATTTTAGAAACGAGGGCTTTATCAGAGAGACTGTTTGTAAAAAATTCTTTCCCAATTTTCTACCTTCCTTCTAATCTTAGTTGCATTGGCTTTGTTTGTGCAAAACCTTTTCAATTTAATGTAATCGAAATTATCCATTTTGCTTTTCATAATGTTCTCTATCTCCTGTTTGGTCATGAATTCTTCTGTTCTCCATAGATCTGATAGGTAAACTATTCCCTGTTCTCCCAGTTTACTTATGGTATCAGCCTTTATATCTAAGTCATGAACCCATTTTGACTTTATTTTGGTATATGGTGTGAGATTTGGGTCTATGCCTAGTTTCTGCCATACTCTTTTCCAGTTTTCCCAGCAGTTTTTTTCAAAGAGTGGGTTCTTATCCCAGAAGCTGGGGTCTTTGGGTTTATCAATTGAGCTCAGGTCTTTCTAACTCCTGGGTCAGCCTTCTATCATTTCTTCTCTTCTTACTGGTCTCTCTGCCTCAAATATCTCCTGACTTTAATTCGGTTCCCACTTGACTGTCAAAGAGATTTTCTTAAATTACAATTCTGACTGCTTCATCTTCCCTTAAGCAGTAAACTCTAGTGGCTTCCTATTATCTCCAGAATCAGATGTAAAATACTGTATTTGTCACTTAAAGCCCTTTACAACCAAATCCCTTGTTTGTTGATTGATTTATGAGGTATGACTCCAATATAATGAGACTATTTTAGGTAAGACCAGGACTTTCTAATTCTTATGAGTGTTATCTTTTTCCATGTAGTTCTCTTCAGAGGCTGCACAATTTTTACAATGTAATTACCATTATCCATAGCATGCCATAGCATGCCTGGACCTCATGGGTTCCTGACCCTTTGTTTAACAGATCCTTTGACTAGGCTTCTAATTCCTGATCGTCTAGCCTGATTTCTCACCCCTTGAGCTACTAGATTCTGAAACTGACCTTCCTGCCTCTATTAATATCTGTATTTTCTTTTTCTGACTTTTCTGTGTTTGAACATTGTCCTACCTCACAAAAGTATCTGTCTATGTTACTCCTGGCTCATCAAAATCCCAGCACAGGGACCACTTTCGCCACTCTGTCAAATTGGAACCTTAGTCCTGGTGTGAGAGGAAGATGAGTGAGGGTATTTCAAGAAGGTGGACCAAGAAATGTAACAAATCAGAGAGGATAGAATACAGATGGCATATTTGGAGAACATTCACGTAACTAGCCTGGATGGATGACATAGATCATGTTGGAAGCAGTGGAAGTCTAAGTCCAGCAAAGAAGTAAATTCCACAGAAAGAGCTTAGGGTTTTTGTTGATTGAAAACTCAAAAATGGGTGGCTATGTGGGGCAGTAGATAGCTTGCTGGGCCTGGAGTCAGAAAGACTCATCTTCCTCAAATCTAGCCTCACACACTTACTAGCTGTGTGACTCTGGGCAAGTCACTTACCCCTGTTCGCCTTAGTTTCCTTATCTGTAAAATGAGCTGGAGAAGGAAAAGGCAAACTACTAAGGTATCTTTGCCAAGAAAACCTCAAATGGGGTCATGAAGAGTGGGACA